CGAATATCGATCCATCCATCATCATGAAAACCAGCCCACTTTGCCTGTTGGCATCGAAGGCGTATGAGGCAGTATATGATCAAATCGGTAGGTAAAAACCCAACAAGGACGATCACTGCATAAATGCCATTGAATTCCTCGGCTGAAACTGGCTGTGCTGTAACCCGTACCGCAGCGACATCATGGCGAAAGCGCTGCCAGAACCAACCCGCATCCAATTTTGAATATGGAAAACCAAAACTTCAGCTTCCTCTTCGTCAGGCTGGAAAATTACGGTGTTTCTGGCTCGTGGTAAAATTAAACCGGCGGTATCCCTTGGCCGTAGCGCTGGTGACAGTTCACCATGCCTGCCCGGCAGAATATTTTGAAATATGTAAATCCAAACAGGTTTTCAACGCATACCCGTATTGGTGAATTAGCGGTCTGAAAGCCACCAGGTATCACTGGTATTATTTTTCATACCAGTTGCATACGATGAAAAGCATTAAAATCATGAAGGGTACATCGAATGCGGTACAAAAACCAGGAGAACTGCCAGCCAATACGGTCCCGTCCCTTTGGTTTTGAGGCTTTGGTTTCACGGTAACAAATCCTTCGCACCTGCAGCGCGCGCCAGTCAACGGATGTCTTCCCCGGAAGAAACCGGGTTAAACGACCGACATCAGCGCGCGGCATTCGCTTGTCAACTGTTCTTTAACGTCACCATAAATAAACGCACTTTAAAATATTTTTTTTTGCTGTCATTACAGCTGGTAAAACACGGCAACGAATAGAACGGCATTCTGCTAATCGGCAAAATTAAAACCGGTCGCGACCGTGCCAGATCGTCTGTTCTTTTGGTGGCGCGCTTCTCTGCCGGGAAATCACCAGCGCCGGCAAACCGGCTTTAATTGGTATCCGTTCTTTAAAACGGCCGCCAGGTTATTTAACGCCGGGTGGCACGTTTAGTCAGTTAGCCGAATGCAGCGAAACTAAAGGCCTGGTATTTACAAAGAAAAAAAAAGGTAAAGGCCAAAGGTTCAAAGTAGTGTTTCCATAAGGAAACACTAAAATGAATCAATACCAACTGACCATCAGCCACAATGAAGTACAAACGCTTTTACGGAAAAATAAAAGCCAGTAGGAGCATACTTAATGCCCGTATATCAGAAACTTAATTTACCATTTGCAACTGGAAGTTACCGCAGGAAATTTTAGATATTCCTTTACACAATTTACGTGAAATAGTTTGGAATAAGATGGGTTGCCTCAACTTGAAAAAACATTAGAATTTTGTTAAACGACGTTTTTATTTCCCAAATCAATAAATTGGGACCAATGGACCTATGCGATAGCCACCCCTGATTTGTCCCTTCCCTGGATTTGTCCATTCGTATTTTAAGTTAATGTCTCCTTTCTGTTTCTATAGGGCTAATCTGCAAGGGGCCTACTTTGTTTACGCGGAATTCGAACAATGGTCCTTGATTATATCATTGACAATGGCCTACCAACTTGGCAAGTATCTAAATCGACTCTTACTCTCGAGATATTCGATCTCGTCAGACCTTGAACCGTGCGTGGCAGAGTCTGTCAATAGATTTTACACTCCTGCCATGGAATAACAGCAAGACATAATTTCCAGACGCTATAAACCGTACATAGTCCATCCACTCGCATCCTCTAAAGTCGCTTAGCTTCGGTGATTTACCAAACCAAACCAAACCAAACCGGTGCGCGGTGTTTCAACGTAGCTGGGCCCTTCGTTGCCCTTCTAATTCAAGTGTACAAATTTACGATGATATTATGTCCTGACCCTGACATAATGTCATACACATCACTATGACAAATAATATTGATATTCTTACCATATTAAAGTTTTTCGACGTTCTTATTAGGTCCATATCAAAATCTCTTCGTATTAAGTACCATAATAAACCAATATTTTCTTTGACTATGAACATACCTGAAACAAAAAATTAATTATTATATTAAGAAAATCACTTATCCAGATGATTAAAACATTAAATAGTTAAATATTTGTTTAAAAGTGGTATAAATTATAAAATATTCTTCTTGTCGTACAGCTACTATTATTATATTCTTCTTATATGCTCCTTGTCGTACAGTAAAGTTCTTGTCGAATATATACTGGTATTGTGTATAGGTGAAGTCTGCGTGATCGAAAAGCACAACATAAAATGATTGGAAACCTGGGTTGTCCATAAGGAATTAATAATATTAAATTAATAACATTTACTCATTAATGAAAAAAATAAAATAAAAGAAAACTAAAAGAGATAAAAATAATGAATATTAAATATAAAATTAGTTACTAAAGGAAGATTTAATAACCGTAAAAGAGCCACACAAAACTGCCTCGTTTTATTGTCAAATAGTACATCTTCTACAGTTAAATTACCATAGATAAAATGCGGTAAATGTTGCTAGGCGACGTAATTTGCCGGCCGTATCCGATGACCTCCGACCCCAATTGGCGCGTAATACCGGTCCAGAGGAGACAACATCGCAACATCTGGACACTTTACAGGCTTAGTTAGGGGCACGGCACGTTCTTAATTACTCAAGAGATAGTACCGAAAAAGGAAAGTAAGTGGCCATATTTTCCTAAACCAGTGTTTTTATGGTAGGTTTATAACAAGAATAAGTGCCTATTCTTAGTCAAATATGAGGCGTAAAAATAAATAACATTTAAAAAGTTAAAGAAAAATTGAAGATCTTAAACGTCAAGTATTCGTAACCAATCTAACGACTTACGATTATCTGCATTTCTATATTTCTAGATATTCGAATATCATATGTTACGTTAAACATCTTATTCGATAGTCAAACGGTATTAAAAGCGATAAATTCAGTAACCATCAATTAAGTTGGCCAAAGAATGTTTGGAGAAACTGAACAAATTAGGCAAAGAAAATAAACTCCTTCCACTGGGTGCCATGAAGGGATAGAAGGCAATGAAAAAGCAAACGATCTAGCTAGAAAAGGAGCGAACACTCCACCTGGTCTAACTGGACCAGAACCGTTTTGCTTCCAAAGTGGAAACCAACTTAAAACAAAACTCAGAAGCCTGGAAGGCTCCATCCGTAATCTGGAATGGGAATCCTCCAGCGGTCTAAGTCACTCGGAGAAATTTCTCAGAACTTAGACCGAGAAAAATCAAAGATTTTCCTTGATTGAAGTAAGAGCAACCTTCGGATTGTCACGGGATTTTAATAGGACTCCTCAATGAACACCTCAGTAGATTAAAGCTATAAGAAAAAAACGGCAAATGCGGATTCTGTGGGAAAGGTGGGGAAACACAAGAACACGTTATCACTGAATGCGCCAAGACGGCAACCATTCGTGCTATAAAGTTTGGTATGATCGGAGATGGAGAACTAAACTCTGTAAAACCGGCTCAGATAATGGCTTTAGTCAACGGCTGACACTGTATGATGAGTTATAACTGAAGAAAGTGTGACACAATAGATCTATAAGGTCGGTAATATGTGATAAACCATAGATGCTCTGACTTAAACGCACGTGTACGAGAAAACTCGTAGCAGGTGAAACGCGGATATTCAATCAAGCAAAGTTGACCAGCTGGTGCTGAATAAGCTGTGCCCATGGCAACGATAGTCAACATAAGGTTAGATTTCGGGGGGAGCATTTTAAAACCACTAATAAAGCACATAAAGTATATCGCAATATACAGGGTGTCCCAGAATAAGTGCAAGTGTTTTAACTGGTAGTATATTTCGGCCCCAGAAACACGCATGTGAGTTTTTTTTGCGAAAAAAAACATATAAAATTTGGAATTTTTTGAAAAGTTTTGGATTTTTTTTTAGTTTTAAATTAAAAAACATAATTTCTTGATAATATAGCAACATAATATATGTGGGTAGTAGATTAAATTTACATGAAAGAAAATCCAGAAAAGATCCAGTGGTTCTCAAAATTTAAGCAAAAAAGCATTTTTTGTTTAAATTTTCAAAATAAAACAACTCTGTTATTTTGGACTTACTTGAAAAACGGTAAAGGGAAAAAATATGTCTTTTGACCAGATCTACCGCCCCTTAAAATACTTGCGTTTATTTATGGAACACCCTGTATAATATACAGGGTCCGGCAATAGTGCGTCAGGCATCTGTAGCTCCTAGAATAAAAAACTTAAATGCAAACCTAAAGTATGTACCAGCACCGAACATTAATATAGCAAGAAGGGTCACTCTAAGTCCCGCCCTATTTTACGTTATTTCCACGCGGCTGTGTTTGGTCGCTGTCGCAACCGTTTCTCGGAGTCAGGCGGAGTCCACAGAATATACTAACGAAAAAGAAGCCCAAGTTCCTTGTAATAAATCGGTTCCATTTTCGTAACGCCATCTCTCGACATAGCTGACATTATAGGTTAGCCAAAGGGGTGCGGGGCCGGGGGGAATTGTAAAATACACTTTTTTATTTTAATTATTTTTATTCGTTATTTGTACTCTTATTTTTTAAAAAACATATTATGTGAAACAATCACATAATATGTCTTAAAAATAAAATTACAAACGGAAACAAAAGGAATTAAATAATCTGAAAATCTACAAAGTTTATTGATAAAAAGAAGTTATGCAAATTGATATATATTAAGTATAACCTCTTTGGTATAACATTGTTAAACAAACATTAACAAATCATAACATAGAAACAATCATAGAACTAAAAAAGTACTATTACATAAAACAGGTGATACAATACTAAAAATTAATTTTAACATAATATCAAACCGAAAAATCAAAACTGCAAACACAACCACACTTATCATTAACAGAAATTAACACACACTTTCGCGGCAAATGTCCAAGAAAGACTGATCATTCTGATTGGTCCTGGTCCGGTCGTAGCTCACGTCGTATTGTCGGTAAGCAAAATCCCTGTCCAAAAATTTTGACGATCAGCGCCATCATCCGTCATAATTGGGAAACTTTTGCTGGAACCATTTTTAATATTTCACTTACATGGCCCTGGCGGAGTCCGTCGATATGCACGTGTGTGAAGGCTTAACGCTCGCAGTATACCAGGCCGGGGCGAATAATACGTTGTGAGTCAGTTAATTAATTGCAGGTTGTCTTCACTACCGGAAGGTCTTATTTGAAATCGGTGTGTTTTTTTGTACATAGTATATTTATTAAACTATTATAAAGGTTGGTTATAAAAATGCCGAGATCTTGTTGCGTAGAGGGCTGCAATAGCAGGCAAGGACCTGGTGGGAGAATATGTTTTCGTTGTCCGAGAGATGAAATAAGGTAAGAAATGTGGTCTGATGTGCAAGATGTGTAAGTGTATAGTATTTTGCTACATTTCTGCGAACAGCGTGATTATCCTCTTCTTTATAAGCTTAAAAAAAATATATTTTTGTACTTTGGATTTTTACAGATGCCAACGTTGGAAAGACGTTTTGAAGTTTGTAGGAGCGCACAAATATGCTAATCTTACTGTGGGACAGTGTTATGACAGATTGGCAGTATGTGATTTGCATTTTACAACTCATGATTTCCTGGAAAATAGCTTCAGACCTGGTCTGAAATATAATGCAATTCCGTCCTTAAACTTGGGCTATGAAAGAAATATGGATGCCTCCATTCAAACCGATTGCATTAGCTTAGAAGATGCAGGTTTACAGACGGATTTTAACCTTAATCGTGAAAAGAGCAACGACGCATCTTCGCAAACTGATACGTCTAAATTATATAGCAGATCTACACAAACAACAGCCATACTGTCAGCAAACACTCCGAGGAAATCTATCTTAAAGGAAAAAATAAGAAGTCTAAAAAGGGCCTCAAGTAGTGCAACAGAGTCAAAGGATCCAAAGTGTCAGAGGCAGTTGGAGACAAATATTACTATTGAAGATGTGCATAGGTTTTTAGAAGATAAATATCCGGCAAAGTCATGCCAACTTATTAAAATTCAGTTAGATTTATTAAATAAATCCCCAAAAGGTTGTAGGTATTCCGAAGAATATAAGCGATTCGCTGTAAGCGTTAACTTTTTGGGCCCTAAGGCCTATAAACAATTTTCAAGTTTGTATCAAATGCCCTCAAAAAGTACGCTGTCCCGATTTACTAGAAAATGGGTAGTTAATCCTGGATTCAATTAGTTTATTTTTGGTTTACTTAAATTTCGAGCGAAATTTCTTACGGAGAAGGAGAATGACTGTATTATATGCCTTGACGAAATGTCTATAAAATCGAATTTTTTTTACGACATAGGCAAAGACAAAATCGTTGGATTCCAGGAGGGGTATTCAGATAGTATAAAAATTGCAACTTCTGTCTTGGTAGTCATGGCGCGTGGAATTGCCTCTAGCTGAAAACAGCCAATTGGGTATTTTTTTATAATTCAGCTGCTCCTGCAGAAGAGGTGAAAGAAATTTTATTTGAAAGCGTTCGAAAATTAAATTCAATTGGTTTTAATGTAATGGGAGTCGTTTCAGATCAAGGCTCTAATTTTCGAAAACTAGTAAATAAAATTTTAAAATTAACCCCGGAAAATGTATATTTTAGTGTTGATAATTTAAAACTTGTTTATTTTTTTGATGCACCTTCACCTTCTAAAAATCTATCTGAAATAACTTTTTCCTATGATTGGGCTTACCAGAAGGCTTTAATAAAGAAGTTATTTATATTTTTTATCAATCTGACAAGAAAAAGGCAAGTAGGATGTGCCCTAAATTAACCGATGAACACTTATCTCCTAGTAGCTTTCAGAAAATGAAGGTGAAATATGCTTCTCAAATATTTAGCCATTCGGTGGCAGCAGCTTTGCACGCATATATAGATTTTAAGTTTTTACCACCAGAGGCTAGATTAACAGCAAATTTTGTACAAAAAGTTAATGATTTATTTGATTTGTTAAATTCGTGCAACTTACAAAATTTCAACGTTTTTAGGGGGACAGAGAAACAAATACAATTTTTAGAGGAAATTACTGATATGCTTAATAACTTAAAAGTTGTAAAAATGGTAAATTCCAAAGATAAAGATGGGAAACACATTGTCGTAGAAAAATGTTTCAACAGTACAATGCATTTTATATACGGGTTAAAATTGACGATTAGTTCGCTTAAAGCTTTATGGGATATTTTAAAATCAAAAAAATATTCTTTTTTAATGACACGTAACTTGAACCAAGATTGTCTCGAAAACTTTTTCGGACAGATTAGAAATTGTGGAGGTAACTGTAGAAATCCCACGCCGATCCAGTTTTCTAGAGCTTTCAAAAAACTTTTTTCATTAAGATGTATCAATGAAGGGAGTGCAAATTGTATGGATGATGTGAATATTGTATTATTAAATAATGTAACACCTGACGTAATTGAGACCTGTCAGAAAATGAATATCCCCCAAAACACAAAAAATTCACTTAAAATATATACGAGTGACTATCGCACACTTTGTAGTACCGATGGTAACGCTTTGATCTATATCACAGGTTATTTATTGAAAAAATGTCTGATACAACACTCATGTAACATATGTAAAGAATACAATGGAAAACAATCTTTCCAAAAGCAAGAAACCTTTTTTTTTGAAGCCAAGTCGTATTCTAATTCACAAGATGGCGGTTTAAATTTACCTCATTTAAATGCGGTAGAATACATTAAACAATTAGAATATATATTTATGAAAAATTTTAACGATTTGGCTGCGAATAGATTTATTGCTGCAAAACTAAAAGATTTGTTTAAAACAAGTACTTTTACACATCCTTGTCCGCTGTTCCCATTTAATTATTTTTTGTCTCTTTATACCAGAGTCAGAATATATTATACTGTTAAATTTGCAAACCGAGATATCAACACTCAAATTCGAAACAAACAACCTTCAAAACCCAATATAAAGTTAAGCATATTGCAAAATCTATAACTTCCCACCTACATATATTATAATTTTGATATTTTTGTATATCAGTTAATTTTGACAGTGGTTTACAAAATATAAAAAATGTGATGTTGCACCTTCAGTTTTCTGTTACCTAGCTCTATTGGTAAAAACTTACTAAATTGAGATCATCCATCTCGACGTGATGTTCTTTTTTTTTAAAAAATGTGTTCTATGTTTTCTTTTATTTTATTTCTTTTATTTAACATTATACATACATGTATATTTATTACTCATTCTGCTCATTCATTTGCCTGTTTTTTATGTGTAATATGTTTCAAAGAGATAACTTTACTTTATTATTTTGCCTCGGATTGTGCTTTTCTTTTTAATGTCATTAAGTTTGTTATTATTTTTTTGTTCTGTTTTTGTTCTGTGTAAATAAATATACACATTTAATATATTTATGTATATATTAGGGGTGTTCCAGAAATAAGTGCAAATATTTTAAGGGTGTAGATCTCGATAAAAGAAACATATTTTCTTTATCGTTTTTCAATAAGTCCAAAATAACGGAGTTATTTTACTTTTGAAAATTTCCAAAAAATTATTTTTTGCTAAAATTTTGAGAACCACTGATCTTTTCTGGATTTTCTTCTTGTAAATTTAATCTAATACTTATGTTGCCATATTATCAAGAAATCTGGTGTTTTTTATCCAAAACTAAAAAAATTCCAAAAATTTTTCAAAAATTTCGAATTTTCAAATTTTTTTTCGCGGAAAACCCTAGGCGTGTTTCTGGGGCTGGAACTACTACCAGTTAAAATATCTGCACTTATTTCTGGGTATATAATATGTTTGTTTATTATACGTTATCCTATTTCAAATACATACTGACCAGATCTTATACTCGTAATTATTTACATTTAATTCCATCCACCGTGCCGCGCCGCGTTCGAATTATTTTGAAGAAACCCCGTATTCGAGCGCTCGACCCAGCGGCATACGACTACAAGCGTTGTTGCCGCGGCTCGTCTTTGTAAACGCCACGAAAGCCAGAACGCCGGCTGACCCCTTCTTCTTACATTTGAGCTTCAGGATGTATTTCAGAAATAGTTTACGCAGTAGGTGGCGTGAGTGGACCTGGATGATTTTTTTTAAATGGAACACCCTGTATATAATTGCATTTTTGGCTTCCTTTCAGATCACTTTTTACATTATTACATACAAAAATGCAATAATATACAGGGTGTTCCATTTAAAAAAAATCATCAAGGTCCACTCACACTTCTTTGAGCCACCCTATAGAAGTTAAAATATTTTCTTGAAATACATCCTGGCACATACTTTAGGTTCGCACTTAAACAAAATTCTCAAGTTTTTTATTCTAGGAGCTACAGATGCCCGACGCACTATTGCCGGACCCTGTATAATCGATTCTGTGATAACTTAATTGGCTCTGACTGATTTGCGACTGTGATGAGAAGCCCAAGCTTAAGCCAATTACTCATTATGCGTTGACGCAGCGTTGATACGTCGCGTCGATGCGAAGAAGTGAACAAACATAGTGAATATCTATAAGGGTGCGTTTATGTTGGAGCGGCGATAAACGATAAGAGCAGCGATAGTAGCGAAGCAAAGAATATTATATATTATATTAATTTATATGTAGGTGTATGTATGGTTATATTGGAGCAACGCGTCGAGACACGCTTGGCAGTTGAGCAACGATAAGAGCAGCGCTAATTCACTGCTTTTATCGTTTATCGCAGCTCCAACATAAACGTACCCTAATGCAGTTCGTCACCCCATACTCATTACGCGTTAATAATACTAGCTTTCGCACACTTTTACCATAACAAAAACAAAATTAAAACCAAAACATTTTACTTATTATTTAGTAACACTAAACCCACTGAATAAAGTTACCCGTGGTGTATTCTCAAGGTTCACTAATAACCCAGATGATTCAACATCTTCGTGACCAATAGCTATTCTAACGTGCTTGTTGGATAAAACGCTATTGTTGTTCTGCTTTACATTTACACCTATGTGCAAACTTTCAGAACGTTTTGACCTTTTCACTCTTTCTATTTAACAATATTATGCAAAAGAATTATATTTTTTAAGTTTTATAAACAACAATCATTTTATTCCATCAAAATCCCCAAAATTCAGTAGAAAACAATATAATAATTCTTGTTCTTCCTTATCAGCATATTGGAAATATTTTTTATTTATTTTTTAAGTACATACATACATTATTTATTACATATTTTTTAAGCACACACATACCGCCATTACTCGCTGACGAGTATTTGACACGCATCAGAAGACGGTCACGCAAGGAGTTTTCCTTCATGAGCTTTCCTGTGACTGAAAAGCCCGATACGTGATGTTATCTGTCTACCGCACTCCAGACATTCAAAAATCTCATTTCTTTGTTGCCTCTTTACTTTTTGGTTGTTGCTCTTAACTGACTTTACAATTCTTCTCCATTCCGTTCTATTGTGAGCTGCCTTCTCCCACTCATTCTGCTTGTTAATTCCCTTTAAGTTTTCGTGGAAAATATCCTTGAACCTTTTGAGTTGTCCACCCGGCCTCCTCTTACCGTCTACAAGCTCACCGTAAAGCAGAGATTTTTTAAGTAAATTCTTATAAGAGTACAAAGTGCAAATGAAGACTTATCTTGGTTAATAAGTATAATATACCATATCGGGCAAAAGGCAGTCTTGGGTTGGTATTTACATATCTACGAGTGAATCGCTAAAGCAATCTTGTAGAATATAAAATGTATGGGAGTATTTTTCTCGGTCGGAAGTTCTGAGAAATTTCTCTGAGTGTCTTAGACCGTTGGAGGATTCTCATTCCAGGTTAAGAATGGAGTCCTCCAGGTTCTTGAGTTTCTCTTTAAGTTGGTTTTCACTTGGGAAGCAGAACGGTTCTGGTCCAGTTAGTGGAGTGTTCGCTCCTTTTCTAGGTAGATCGTTTGCTTTTTCATTGCCTTCTATCCCTTGCTGGACTGGTACCCAGAGTAGAGTAGGAGGTTGTAACCTAACACATAAATGTCCTGTCTTTTATCACACAAGACTAAGATATGGAAAATTCTGGGTTTCGCCAATATGCTAGCATTAAATCCTCCATGTCGTCTAATGCTTGAAGCATTTTTGAATAAGTCGATATAAGCCAAAGTCGATGTTGCCAATAGTATTCCTTAATTTTAAGGATTTTTGAAATTGGTCAGCCAACCACATACTGTTAAGAACATAACGGTAGA